GGATTTTAAAAACCATAAATCTAACTTGAACAATATTGACTTGGTTTAAATTAATAACAGACTACTTTGATAGCATATTTTGACCTATAATCAGATCTTCCTTGACAAACATCTATTGCACAACCACATGACCTTACTAATACTAAAAATGAAAAGAAAAATAATATTGATTTTTTTTTAATCTACTAGATATAATTTCAAATCTTTTGAAAAATAAGATTTAAAAAAAATTCAATAGATAATACCATTAGCTAAATCAGTAATTCAAACAGTCAATTACTTTTTGTAATTTAATTTAAATTTACAGCTATATTAATTCCTAACTTGGATAGTTATTAATATCAGGAGCATGACCAAAACACCAATTAAATAACACCATTATCATATTCAATTATTGATTTTCATTAAGAGATTAATGAAAATATTCTTAAGAACGACTGTTAAAAATAATTTCAAACCTTAAATTAAAAGGGTCTTAGTGCGTATCAAACAGAAATGTGTATGTTTATAAAAAGAAATTATTAAGATTAAAACTAATTCTCTCAGGTCGCAGATTAATGGCTTGACATGGCTATTTTAAAATTGTTGTTTCTATTAATATTGGCCAATGCTAATGAAGCAAACAGAAGAAAAGACGTTACAGAACCAATAAAAACTGATAATTTACGTAAAGAAGTGTTAAATAAAATCAATGAGGTAAGAGAAGATACAGCCCATCCAGAATGGCAATATCTGGCAAAGAGAAAACCTGGAGGCCTTGATGGTGAACTAGTACTGGAATTCAAAAGTATATCCGAAAAAATTGATAAAATAAAACTTCCCAAAATTTCTGAACGAGTCATGGAAACATTATGGGTATGGAGTGTTCTAAATATTGAAATGTCAAACATTAACAGTAAGTGGGAAGTATTTAGACAATCTCAGGCAAGACCAGATCCAATTATGTATGGTGCAGCATGGAAAGATATAACAGAAATAACACTCTACGACTCATCGTCTTCTAGCTCAGTAAAAAATTCTCTAGCTAGTCTTCAGGACATGATATTAGACAATGTCGAGGGTCACAAAGATGTTTTCACAATTGTCAATGAGGTATGTGTATAGTTTTTTGTTTTATTTTTAAATTTTAATTCAAGATATATAAAATTTAAATAAAATAAAGCAACATTGTTATTTAAAAATAGCAATGAATAAATAATGATTTAAGGCTGATCTAAAGATAAAATAAATTGTAGGAAGCTGACGAACACATGTGTGAGGCAGAAATGTCACCCCAACAACTACTGTACAACTTATTTTCAATTCTACAGATGTCTCAATTAAAAGCATATACAATGATAAACTTTTCTTGGCTTTTATTAAGGATATACAATAAAGGTAACAAAAACATGTTTATGAATTTCATAAAAAAATTGGAAAATCCATACTAAAGCTTTTTTTTAAACTTGAAACTCAAATTTTTCCTAATAATTTATTTATTTATTTAAAACACAAGGCAATTTCACAACAGAAGCAAAAATGCTTCATGATAATTACTTAGAAAGAATGTCGCAACAAGCTAATGCTCTAAAAGAAAGTATGAAACGGGCAGAATCATCTTATTGGAAATGTGATCCAAGGATTCACGAAGAAGGCAAAACATATACTGAAGTCACAAAAGTATTACAGGTAATAATACTTTTGAAATTAGATATCTTAATTCACTAAATCAACTAATAGAAACTTATATGTTCCTTATAAAATATTTTAGGGATTTTTAGTAAATGAAGTAGATTTGAACAAAGAAGTGACATGTCGTGAAGACTGTCCATTCTACAAGTATACTAAACAGTATACATGCTATAAAGATAATTATTGTGCAAAGCAACCTAGATGTAATGGAAATGTAGTTGGATGTCAATTTGTGGATTCAGATATGTGGGTCTGTCAGGCAGTAAGTACATATGTTTATAACCTAATGCATTAATGTTATTATTATATATAAAAAAAGTTAAATTAAATATTTTACAGCCTACATCAAGCACACGCCGATATGATTGGATCCGTTATGAAAATGGAAGAACTCTAGGTTCAATGGGGTCATGCAGCAGATCAATATCCAAAGTTGATTCATGGTGGCGTTGGCTGTTTTGGCACTGTTCTTTTTGTATCTGTTATTGTGATGATCCAAACAGTCATCAATCAGACCGTTATTTTAATCTGAGAGCAGTTATAAGTGATAAAGCTAATAATAAGTAAAAATTCCATTTTCTTCCTCTCAAGGCACATGTTTTTAATAGAATAACTAATAACAGTTCATATTTTAGGGTTGTGACAGGGCTAAGATTCACAAAGGTAAATCGCATTATTCATCTTCAAGTACAAGAGGGTGAACTGCTACCGATGGGTGGTATCAATGAAACGACGATACAATGGAAACCTGTCGATGATTACAGTATTGATGATAAAGGAGTAACAGTAGGAGTTGATTACCATATGTTAACATGGGAAGGAAGATCGATTGACCTGGATGATATCAAGGTCCCTCAAGATTCTGTCGTAACTGGTAAGCTATTAAAATATATTTTCGGATATTCCCAAAAATTAATAAAATAAAAATCCCTCAGTTGAACTTAGGATTTATTAATAAATTCATTCTTATATAAAGTAAGAAGCATTGATAATCCAGTCTACAGATACTTAACCTGAAGTTTTTGTTAACGCATCTTGGTTTGACAATCTAGGTGTAAAGTTAAGGCGGGTCGGTGGACATTTAAATTTAGAAGTTGAAGGAGCACAATTCAATTTTACAACTGGAAAATTAATTCAGTCTGGTGAAAGGAGCTTTTGGTCGAGCAACGATAAAACAGATGTGTCTTCAGTAAATCCTAGGTAATGAAATCTATGTTAATTATTCATGTAGCAAGGAAGCTTGAACATTACTAAAGAATTATTTAATTTACTCCATTCATTTTTATTTTTTTTTTTTTTTTAATAGAACCCAACTAAAACTCAAAAAACCTGATATACCAACTAGATCAGCTGGAGCTTCTCATATTGATTCTAAGCCAGAACAATTTGTGGAATTCGGACCTACTGATCTTGACCTGGATGCTGGTCAGACAACGATACCATTCCTAGACACGCAGTTGGTGGCACCCCAGCCACCAGTACCTCTGGCAGGAATCGGCATATACCACAAAGGTCGAGACTACTCAGGTGGCTTCATTGCGCCTAAAGTTTTCACATACGACTTTTCCAAACATATTATAGATCATTTCCCGGAAATCAATGAAGCTTCATAGTTATCATTGAAAGCTCTTTAAAACAAACTGGCTTTTTAAATCTTAGAATATCTTGTATATTAGTCATTATAGAAAATAAAAATAACCAACTACAATGAATTAATTTGATTTGTTACCAGTGAAAAACATATCCAAAATAACTGATCATATTTCAGAAACTAAATTTATGATATTATGTTGCTTAATGTGATGCTAGTGATAACGAAGCAAAGCCCTAGTATGTGATCTATTATAAGACTTGAATTACTATTAGATTTATAATTGTAAAATAGAATCACATATCTAATACTTTACCTACTTACAAATATACTAAAAACAAAAGAAATATAAAAGCTGATGTAAATAAGGCTTATCAAGGTTAGAGAGAAGTTTTTAGATCAACAAATAAAACTATATTCATAACAAAGATACTTGTTATGGATTTTGTAATAAATTATCAAAAGTAGCTAGGTTAAGTTATTTATTGATGTATGTCAGTTTTAAGTTTTTGTATTTAAATAAATTTATTATAAGTAAAACGATTATTTATAATAATTATTTAACTAAGACTTTTTTTTGTACATTTACCAAGAAAATTAAATGGTAAAAATAATAACATTTTTATTGTCCCCAACATTTATTAAATAATTCATTTAATTTACTTGAGTCAAGATTACTGGAATTTGGAAGTTGAATTAGGCTAATTTAAATTAATCAAAATCAGCAACCTCATTAATTTAGAATAATTAAAGATGAATTTGAACAATAAAATACATCAGCAACACACTATATGTATTTAAAAAATGTCCAACTAAAAAACTTAGAAAAGAAAAACAAATGTTCTAAATAAAAACTAATTATTTTACTTCAATATCCTTGTTATTTAAATAAAATCCTCCTCAAAAAAGAAAATAAAAAAAAAAGAAACTAATCATTCTACTACCTATCTAACAAAGATAAAATTATCTTTCAACTTTCAATATTTCTTGATGATTAGAGAACTGATACGATATTTATAAATTATAAACTTAATATTTAATATATTTCCATAAAATTGATTTAAATTTCATTACTATTTAAAAAAAAACCACTGATATTTATGTAAATATGTTGTGGATATACAGTTCTTCCTTACTTCAGAGATACATAACAACCAATATTTAGATTGATAGAGTAAATTGTTATTTCAATATAAATTAATTAATGTAGAATTAATTGACAAAACCCTAATGTTATAAAAAGAGACAATAATGCTTGATACGTTCCTAACACAAAAGAGGAGGATCAATTAATCTCCAGAATACTGTTGTTCTCACGTGGAGTTAAGAGAGAAACAATGAAAACAATATGCTTCAATAAAGAAAATCCGAATAATGCATTTTATCTAGTATATCTTGTAATAAAATCTAACATGTTAATTAGAATTGAAGAACCACTTGGAAAAAAAAGTGATAAGAGGCATTATGGAAAAATGTAATTGTTCTTGAAGATTAAGGCACACAAGTAATATATTTTTTGTATTCCCTCCTGCTTCCATTCACATAAATTCAAACAATTTATGGTTCTCAAACAAGTTAAGAGAACTGTCCATTACGATATAAGTCTGCCTTAAAGAGAATAAATGTGATATTAATTCATTTTTTAAGAACCAAAAATATCACTTATCACCTTCATCTACTTGACTTAAATTTTCTATACAAGACTATATCATAAATAAATATTGTTAAAATGACTTACTTGAACTCTGAGTGGATGAACCATGATTAGCTGAAGGATTTTAGTTGGCGGCAGAACATCTTGAAGTGATCTTTCTTGGTGATTGACAGCTTGACACATGAACACGGCTAAATATCGGTGAAGCGGCAAATGAAATGATACTTGATAATTTTCAACCTGAAAAATACAACAGAAATTTGTTTAATATCCTGAATGAAATTCAAGAGAATGTACTTTATATTTGAAACAAGTTGCTTACAATGTTAGGAGTTGTCATCGATATGGCATCAAACCAGTCTTGTAAAGTGTTGAGTGCTACAGTAAGCACTCTGTGAGTAAGATTGACTGTTCTTGAGTCCCGGAGATGAGTGAGGAGGGCCCACATAGGATAAGCAGAAGCCTCAAGCTCTGCAGAAAATGCTGCATAATAAGTATTTGGTTCAAACTCAACATGCTGCGACAGTTCCCTTTGATTGACATTCATTCCTAAAAATAACAATAATAAATTACACTTGGAATGAACTTAAAAAGAAAGACTATCAATTCCGCCAAGAAGGTCAGTATAGCTTCATCATTTACATTAATGAAAAACAAAGTTTTAATAATTTATTTCAACATGTCCTGAAAGAATTATTACACCCTTTAATATCTTAATCTCACTGTCAATTAATACATTCTATATGGGATACACTTTTACCCGTTGTCTGAATGCAATAAAAACTACTAAAATTAAAATACAGTCGACTGGATAAATCGAAATCCAAGAGACTACAAGAAAAATTGATATCATCAAGAAGTTTGAACTATCAAGAGGAAAGAAAAAAAAAACGAATTATTAATTTTTCATTATTACTAGTTTTCATTATATTTTTGAAAATATGTAAGATCTTACATAAATTTCATATACACATAGCCTCAAGTAAAAATAACTAAAACGACAAAAAAGTTATGTATAGTTTTATGTTTCAATGTGGCTTGTGATCTCTGGTCTAAAGTATTCAGACACAGTAAGAGAGACATACTCCTGCTTTGCACTCATCATGAATTAGGAATTCACTAAAGAGAATTAGGAAACAAAGCTGGAGTGAAAGGAGATAAACATTACGTGGAAAATGAGGAGTCAACATTGCTACGGAAAAAATGGAATTAAAAAGTGTTCGAGTGCCCTAGTTCAAATTATAGAACGTTCTCCTCTTCTCTTGTTTAAAAAAGGATTTATATAAAATAATACATGAAGTTAGCCATTCCTTATTTATTAGCCTGTTTTGCTTCCTCACTACCGAGGGTAGGGAAGCATTGTATTCGTGCGTGGTTAAAAAAAAAATTGTATGCTCAGAATCGAAAATTTCCACTTCGGACATCAAATTTGGTTCGGCCTCTATCTGGCTGTCTGTAGTCTAAATCAATGTAATGGCCATATCACCTACTGTCATTTATCTGATATTCATGAAATTTTCAGGGATTGTGCAGGTTGGTGTCTAGATGGTCCCATATCAATTTTATCAAATTCCATCAAGCGCTTCTGCTTAGGCACGGCTAAATGTGTTTTTTTTAGATATACCAATATTTCAGAAACAGCTTGTTCGATTTGGCTCAAAGTTAGAAAAAAGATAGGTATTAATACAAAAATAACAAAGTATCAATTTCATTGAAATCGGTCATCTACTTTCTCTTTTATATGCGCAAACGTGTTTTCCTTGATACATCTATAACTCTAAAACTGCGAGTTCGATTTGGCTCAAATTTGGAGGAAAGTTAGGGATTGGTTAACCCTTAATAGGCCAAGTTGTCTATGAAGACATCTTCCATATTTTACTTGCCCAAGAGAGGAACTACTTCCATTCATATGTTTTTGGGCCACATTCCACACCCCTGTTGCCTCCCAGCATTAGTACATGTGACAAAAGTCGATTTATTGTTATGGGAAGCGAACTATTAACAATATATTGAAGCATATCACCATTGTTTACTACACTGTTTAACATAAGTCACCACACAAGTTTCTAATGTAAAAATATATATGTTATTCGATTTAAATATGAACTAAAATGAATAAATTAGTTTTAAAACATTGTATTTAAGTTCCTATGTGTTTCATTTCCTGTTCTGGAGAGGAATAAAGTTTTTGCAAGAATCTTAATGATGTTGTACTTAAGTTCACTCTGACCCAAAGGCAACAAATGTGTCTGAGGTACATGATTTTAAATTATTTCTTTTGTGTACCATTTTTATTCAGAAATATGTATAAAAGTCGAGGTAAAAAAGATTTTGGCTTTGCTACCAAAATTTTATTATTTTGGTATTCTATTATTTTAATAATATCACTTCTGATGAAGAAGGAAATGTAGACAAATGCTCCAAAATGGCTGAAGCAAAGCTGAAAAATGAAAGTAATAAAATATTGGAAGATTTCTATATTGGAGATGAAAATTTCAACAATATCCAGTGCAATGAATGGTAGAGTGTGAAGTGTGAAATGTGTGAAGAAGAAGTAAAAGATCCCATTTCCACTGGAGTACATGAAGAAACTTTTATCCCAAAATTTGAACCCCCTAAGGGAAAAGAGCGTAATACCTACAATAGTAAAAGACTATAAAAAAAAGAAAAATTTCAAGATTGCAATTCAGGTGAGCAACAAAATATTAACATTTATTTCATATTACTCAATCCCTTTATCCCAACGCATATCTGTTGTTAAAAGGAACACCCCTAAAATAAATTTGACTTTAAAACAATTTTGAAAACAAATCGCAGAGGATATTATGCTGTAACAGGGAGCTAAAGGAGATATTAGAGTCGGAACATCACCAATTGCAGTCTTGAAAAAAATAACAGCTGTAGCTGTTATACCCGACGCAGCAAGACTTGATAAGATGCACCATTAGCAACTACAATAGGGAAGTGCAAACTGTGTTGCCAGAATCAACCGGTGGTTTCAGGCCAAAAATGTAATGTGAGAATTTGTAACCTCAGTGAGAGGCTCTGTTTTTTTAATTTCATGGACAAAGGAAGGCGTAATGTTATTTTTCATGGATTTATGTTTTGTTTATAATATACTTATGTTTATTTACATGTTTCTTTTATTACCTAATAAATTATTTAATTACATTTTTAAAAACTATGATGTCATTTTATTAGCTAAAGTGAACTTAAAGACACCACCATTTTATAAAGAAAAGAAAAAATCATATATATACAACTTATTTAGGACACAAAAAGAAGGTTTAAGGAAAAATTTTCAGATCAAGTTATTTTTTGAGTGCCTAGCCAGTTAAGGATTAACAGATAATTAAGTAAATATCAATTTTATATATTTCTATCTACTACTCTAAAAACAAAATACTTCCACTTTCAGATCAGTAAATGTATTATTTGATAAGCCTCTTTTCCTGAAAATGGCTCGTTCATTTTGACTCAAACTTGGAGAAATTGGAGAATATTATAGAAATTGCATAGTAAGAATTTCATTGAATTCCATTTAATCATTAAAATTAATATAAATAACTGTTACCAGTATAACGGTCGTGAAATGTGGAAGGCATTGATCATGTGTGATGGGGATTAGGTTAATACAATGTTTTTATGAGGTAATACAACTTAATAAGGTCTTATTCAAAAAGTTAATTTATACCATATTGTTAGGTGGCTTCCAAATGTTACAAGCATGATGCTTACTGCCGTTATTTAGATTTCGTGTAATTTTCAATGAACTTAAATTAATTCTTACTCTAAGTTTGTAAAAAAAAAAAAAACAGTTGCATAAATGATTGTGTTTATTTCTATTGAAGTTCAAGAAGCTCGTCGTGGTTTCGATTTCATCCTTAAACATCAAAGTTGAGAGAACTTATATTTTTATATTCCAGCTTAAATTAGTTTTGTTCTGACTTAAGAGAAGTATTGATCTAGTTAACTCATACTCATAACTTTGTTCTCGAACAAACAAAAAGTTGAATTATTCCTATGGATTTTTGTTCCATCCATTTCACATGTGAAAACATATTTATTAAGTATATATAACTACTGTTAGTGCAAAAGGTGGTATAAATTTTCAATTTTATTCTATACTTGACATTTTGTAGTATGCAACTGGTATAGGTTGTCTGCTACAATGGAAAATATTAGAGGACTATAAAATATGAAATTATACTAATAAATCATGAAGAAATTATTAGTACTTATGCTCTCCTGTAAAACAATAAATTTTAACATACGACCTTTTGCACTAACAGACTATAATCATGTTCAGTATGCCCTGGGATTTTTTGTTTTAATGACGAATTATCAAATATGCAATCTGCAAATGCGGAACTCTTTCGCATTTTAGTATTCGCTGATGAACAAAACTCATGGATATTGAACACGTATATGTTGAGGGATTACTGAATTTCCAAAAACAGCTTCTCTCACTGATTTTATTTATTTATGAAAAAATTTAGATCTTGTAATAAAAATATTTTGTAGCTAATGAAAACAGTGAGGAAGCTCTACTGAAATTACTTGGCAGACAGTTTTTTTATTTATATATGGTTTATGACACAATGGAGTAATAATTGTGTCGTAATAATTATATAAAAAAATGATAAATACAACTTTTTCTTACCTTGAAACATAGATAAAAACGCAAACCATATCTCTAGTAAATTGTCATCACTCATAAATTTAACAGCAACAGGCCTGTGGGATAATACATTATTCAGATCTGAAACCAAAGGCCAGTAGCAATGTTCTTTCATAACCTGTGCTCCACAATTGACAACATAATGGAAATTTTTATCGGGATCTGAAAATTTAAGTAAAAATCATAAGTAATATTTGCTATATTTTTTTATTTGGTATTATCATCAAATTAGTAATTGACAGATTTGTTATTAAGTAATATTATATGCTACGGAAGTGGACTAAATGTTTTTTTAACCTAAGTTTTTAATCAAGTTTCTGAAATCTTAAAGCCCGAACCATGTAAAAAAATATTATAATGTATATAAAAAATAAAAAATGCTCCTAGCAGTTTTAGCGTCAGAATCTTTGTATGTAATATAATAGATACAAATTTTGTTTACTTTTAAAGCAGAAATAAATACCAACTTCTATTCTGACTGGTATCTTATACATACTAGGCCTTATACTTCGCATAGTTCTTTACTAAAGCGTAAAATGGCTGCGTACGTTAAGTCTTGAAGTGTTAAAAGAATAAAATAATGCACAGATAAGCTAGCTAAAAGAAAAATGAAGTGACTGCATAATTCAGAAGGTAACAGGACCCTAAGAGGTACAGCTCTGGTTTATAATAAAAAAAAAAATAAATCGTAATTATTTTTAATGTTTAAGTTTACATTAACGAGAATAGTTCAACAAAACAACAAAATAGAAAGTGAGAAAAATTTTAATATGAGATATAATTAATAAATAAAATATTATTGCTGATAGATGTTTATTAAGAATAATTGTATTGTTCTTATAGGTTAAAAGAATGATGATGTTATTTTAGGATTTATCTTGAAACCTTACCATGAAATTTTCTGAATTTCTTAAGTCATCGAAACAATTTTAATAGGATATAACAAAAAAGTTGATTTGATACATGGACCAATTCTGAACAGAAAAGGAGATAAGACCAATTGTGTGTAGTCATATTTTTATTGAATTAGAAGAAATTGCTCAAAAACTGTTCAAGATAATGAAATTTTAAGCAGACCATTGTAAATTATTATACATTTTTTTTTTTGTTGAGAAAACAGTAATAAAATTTACTAAGGTCTGTGGTAAAAGGAACTTTCAGAAGGTCTGATAATGTAACTAGCTGTAGTCACTGTACACATACACAAGCAGAATATCTTTGTACAGCAGCCGTATCAGACCTCCTTTAATTCCTTTTATCATTGATCTTAATAAATTTAATCACTGATTTATCAAAATTTTGTCTCGAATCATCCTCTCCTCCCCTCTCCAGAGTTTGGCCATTAAGAATTGAAACACGCTGTATATACAAATGCACAAAAAATTTTAAGAAATCTAATAAAAATTAAATCTCTCTTTGGCATACAAATAAAAATACCAAATCAACCGCTATGGTACTAAAAATAATTGTAACAACATTAGTAACTAGTAAACGTTTGCAAATAATTCGCATAATATATTGGTCAGTAAATAAATGACAATAAAATATGTCAATTAATATATAAAATTGATTTAGGGAGGAATTAATTTTAATTAAAAATAATAGACCTAGACATGAGTAAAAATTACATTTAGTAGCATCTTTGCTAAATATGTTCTTATTTTGATGATTGTTTATTCATCAATTGGATTTAAGAATGCATTTAAATCATAATGGGTATAATCAACCATAAAATGTATAATTTTTCAGTTATGCGCAAGTTAAGTTTCTTTTTCTTCATAACTTTTTTTCCTGACTTTTCTGAGGGAAGAGCTTTTTTATAACACTTCATAATATCTTCAAAATGAAAATGAACAATCATTGTATTTGATGAGGAAATTTATGAAGATATCGTGTACCAACAAAAAAAATAGCTTTGAGAAATAATATATAAAGATAGCCTACAATAAATAGGATATTTTAAATATTATGAGATTAGGAATTTTAAAGAACTAACTATACTGTGTCATGATGTACCCATCAAAGAGACAATTTATCGTGCCTCTATCCCTCAAATTTTGAAAACACTAGTTTTAAAACTTTTAATTGTAATTGTAAACTTGTAATTTTTACAATGCCTTTTATTGTTATTGTAGGAACCCCAGACTTTTCCGGGTATTCCAGGACTGGTAGATACCCTGGTATAATCTTATCTAATTTAATAACTATATAAAAGAGATTAACTTTTTTTATTGACAATATTTTAAGAATAAAAAGACATTGTTATTGTTAGTGCAAAAGATCGTAGGTAACAATTTAACATGGTTATACTCTTTGCCTTAGAGATGAAATTTTGTAATCTGCAACTACTATATGCAGTAATAGAAAAATAGAATAGGGAAATAAAATATGAAATTATACTAATAAATCATAAAAAAATAATCAATTTTTAAGCTCTTTTGTAAAAAAAGTCATTTTTTACTTATGACCTTTTGCACTAACAGTAGTAATATATAATTTAAATACTTGAAAATGGTTCATAAAATTTATAAACTAAGAACACCTAATTGATATAAAATTATATCTATAAGCTACTTACCATGTAGCATACTTGGAACTAGAATTTTAATCATCATATATTTGAGTGATATAACCATCACATGAAGGAGACTAAGGCGCTCAGACATTCGAAGAGCCAATGCTTCATTAGAAAATAGCTGGACGGAAACATGTACAACTCGATTCGAAAGAGTATCAGGATCACTTGACTTCTCGAGCATCATTGAAATACGTGAATAATGAAGAACAAAGGCTTGCGTCAGCGCTTCCTGCAAAAATAAAATAATCCACCATAAAACATATAAAAAAGGAAACAAAGCGAAAATAATGCAATTACCCTTCAAAGAAAATATTTGCAGAACAGTACCAAACCAGTATTATAAGTACTGTAGCAAGAAAAAAGTAAAGTATAAATGATCTAAAAAAAAAAACAATAAAGAAAGAAAAATACAGTAGTGAAACAATTATTCCAAACCAGATTTGGGTATTAGTCGATTAAAAATTTAATCTGACAAAAAACCGACAAAATTTTTAACCACAAACAAACATGTTAAAAACAACTGAAATTTTGTCTGAATAAATTTTTAGTTGTTAATTTATGACTAAAATTTCAGTCTGCTGAAAAATTATTCAAATAAAAACCCGAATAATAATATATTAAATATTGTTATTACTCTTTACTTAAAGTTATCATTTCCCTTATATATAAATGTAAAAGGTTACCAATAATGCCGCTGAACTATTCACGGATTAAAATTTTCATTATCTTAAATTAAATCCTACTATCATGATAAAAAAGATTAAAAACACAAAACTAATAATAATGATTAACTATAAGATCAATATATCAATGATTTTTGAAATATGATTGATCAGATGAGGGATGCACAACTTTATTTTAAATTAATGTTATTGAAATGCCCTTTATTTTAAAAAATATACGAGGTTTCTAAAACTTAACGGTCTAACGTTTGTATGGTAATCCTCTTAGAATAATAACTGCCGAGGGAGAGGATAATAAACCAATAAAATAAATAATTGTGGATTGATGATTGACTGTAGTGAATAATGGAAGAGAAGGATGGTTGGGGTAATCAGCCAAAATAAATAATTATATTTATTTTTATATTTGCCAAAGTTCAAGCCTTCATCAGGACTAAGAAAAGAACCAGATAACAATAAGTATAAGGAGAAACTATAAACATTAAATAATAAAGAGTTAAAATTAAAAAGGTGAAAGGTATAGACTAAGAAATGTAGGTAGAATAAAGTTTCTCCAATCAAAAAGCTGAAACTAATATATTTATTTAATCTAGTGATAAAATAAAGCTTAAATTTTGCTGTCCCCTAAATTCTACCACCAGAGACCACCCTTTTGGTCCCTCACTCTCATATCCAGACCTTGTATGAACAAGGATGTAGTTGCCATGCCATCAAAAGGTTTTATAATTGCCGAGTGGGCTAATACATGTATAAAACATGCGTTGCCTGGCAACCAACCACATGAATTAACTTGAAGTGTATAAGATTATAAAATAATTAAGAGTTCGCATCCCGGTTCTGGGGCTTTTAACTCTGGCATTAATCCCCTGACCTCTCCCCTGGTCTGGGAAAAATCCCCGTATAGCCTTAAGGACGAGGAAGGGATTGGACTACGACCCATTTCCTTGGCTCCACCAACCACTTCAAGCTTTATAAATTATAATAATTTATCTTCGATTTCACTGTTTTTCAACTTATGTATGTGACTGTTCTCATTCAGTATCATACTTATGATACTAAGAAACATTTTAAAACTAAGAAGTAAATTAACAATAAAAATTTTTAAAAAATCTGGTGCGCGCAACACACAACTTTCACTTACCGCTCAACTTAGAAATTATTTTCTGGCCATGTTGGGCTATTATAAAATTTTTGAACTGTATTATTAACCGAGCTAAAGCTAAAAAAATTAGCTAACAAATCATAAATACCATTAAAATAACAAAAGTCCTATTTATTATATCACTGGTTGCTTATGAATTGTACGATCCGTTGATTATGGATTTTAAGACTATTATTTATTAAACTGTTATTTTCCATTGCAAAGTTTACTAAAACAGAATTGAGAGATTTGCATTGTCTGTCATAGGCAGGTCAAAAGTTGTCACACTAATTGTAAGTTGGAATATCACAAAAGGAAATTTCATCAAACTATTCACTAATTAAATTTTCTAAAAGAGACATGATGATGTTTCGGAATAAACGGACGATAGATACCTAAATATTTAAATATAATATCAGATCTAGAGTTATTAAACTACAATAAATATATTTAAGGTTATAAATGTATCTATGAAATATTTTAATATTTCACTTCTTCTTTCACACAACTACAATGAAATAATAGTCGATACTGTTGGAATATCACGAAAGGAAGATTCATCAAATTATTCACTAATTTAATTTAATAAAAAGTTACATGACAATATTTCGGAATAAGCGGACGTTGATACCTAATTATTTAAATATAACATCAGATCTAGAATTATTAAACTACAGTAAATGTATTTAAGGTTATCAAGATATGCTATTCATGAAATGATTTTATATTTTACTTTTTCTTTCACACAAGTACAATGAAATAATTTTTTAAACAATGAATAATTAATTATTTAAAATAAACCATATTAAAGATACTTTAGAGGAAGAAGTATATGAACATTGGGCATTTAAGCCCCGTAAAGTGACATGGGGAATCGGACATGAAATGGGGATAAGACCTGATTGATATTAAAGACCACTTAATTATACAATGATATACCGAGTTTAATCAAAATCGTTAAGAGCCGTTTTTGAGGAAATTGCAAAAATGTGTTTCAGCGTTGATATAAAGTGGCACTGCAGGTTAGCCAATTTTAAGGAAAAAGTTACTGTCACATCTAAGGCACATACCTATCTTAAATACGACTTTTCGTTTTTGAGCTAGACTGCTAACATACACATACACACAGACCATTTTTCAGGACTTGGTTATTTGGATTCAGGATAGCTCAACACATCTAACGGAAAAATCATTTACGTTGAAAACTCAGATTCAAAAATTTTCACGGTCGCAATACTTACACTTACTATATATTACATATATATGTAAGTAAAAGTAATATGCTTCAAACAAAAAGAAACGAGTACATAATTGAAAATATTAGAAATAGATAGATTTAAGATACAATACAATCAAAGTTAAAATTGCTAATTATAAACTTTTTATTAGAACAATAATGAAAACTTACCTTATAATCAGGATCTGGGAGCATGTTCAAGAGTAAACAAACTACTTTTTGAGGAAATTCAAACTTAACAGTCCAAAATACAAGCTCCTCTAGGAACGTTCTATGTACTAATACTTCTTGGAGGGCAGCAATGTCTAAAACATAACAATACAAATAATATTGTTTAATTACTATAGTGTTATTGATTGAATGACAATAAATCATCCAATAACTTAGTTCAAAAATAGGACATCTGAAAACATAAAATAAAAAATTACTTCAATTTCTTTACATTATTGTAATACTTTCATAACAAGCTGCCTACTCTTTCTTATGACAATGTTTGATTTAGTCTAGTAGTTGATAAAAATAATAGCATTATCAATAATAATTACAACCTCTTCATATTACAAATTCATAACAGTCAGATTTACTAGTTGAGTAGGGCTAGTCTTACTGTAAGGCAGTAAGATACCCAACCTCAATGCACCGTACACATTGCTACCATAAAAAATTAAGCTAAATAACCATTTCTAATAACACAAATAATTTTATTAATGAAGAAAATGGGAAAAAAGAATTATTTAGAATTATATTTAATGGGTACAGTTCACACAATTCGGCCTTGCATAGCCATCTGAATTCTCTTGTTGACATATCCTTCTTCGGTCCGAACATTTTGCACAATACATTATTTTCAGGGATCTATAGGTTATAGGTTTCAGGCACATTTATAGGTTATGTTTTGGGTGACAGTTCACCTTGTTTTTCAATATAAATTGCAGGTAGGTTAGTGTTTACAATGTTTAAAAAGAAAATGTAAAGGATATCAATAATATATATATATATATAAAACCTGTACCACTATATTAGCTCAGTATATGTAGGGTAAAGTACTGTTTTCTAAGTCAACGGTTGTGCAAGGAGGTGATTTGACTGACATTACGCTCAACCGCCAGGTGTTCCCCCTTAATCAATTATTTAACTAAGGGTACCCACTTTATAGAGATTGGGTGTGCCCATGGAGGATCTCATGACCCCAGGGGCACTCTACGGCTGATAAAACAGAATAAATAATTTTTCTGCCATGAGCTGGGATTCGAGCTTGGGACCTTGACTGATCTTCCAATGCCCTACTGCTGAAATACGCCACTCCTATATACATACATACATTTTTTTTTTTCACCAGTTGGCGCTACAGACTATGAAGATCTTTGGCCACGAGATGTGGTCTCCTTTTGCTTGGGAGAGCATAGATAACCTGGAGGGGATCACCCAACCTTATGTCGCAACAAAACATGGTCTCCATAGTGCAGGGACAGGTCACCCGTAGCTCCATAGCTGATCCTTTTGGAGCCAATCTGACAGTGTCCTTCCCACTGACTCACTCGGGTTCAAGAACAGTGACAAATCGGTCTAGGCCCATGGATTATGGCTGCTCAGAGTCAGCAGGCACACGAGGACCTATATTTCATTCCCCGAAACAGACTGTCCATGGACCGAACCTCAGGGGGCTACTAACATTCTGGTAAATGTTAGTATCCACATCCCGATTCCCGATTTCAGTACACAGGGTAGGGAAGGTAACAGATATCTTTATTATTTCTAAAACTAATGAAACATATTCCTGCAGAAAAGATGAAAATACCAAGTGTAATGAATGTTATTAATTTCATCAAATACAATCAATGTTATGAATTTCAGATTTTTTATGCGATATGGTTTATAACTAGTAGCAGATTATAGCAGATCATAAGAACTATAAAAAAGTTCATATAAACAATGGGCCTATTTTCAGTAGAAAAGTATGAAATCCAAGTTTTGTGTTTTTTAAGTGTCATGTTTTTTGTTAAATATGAAGTGTTAACTAAAGAGATATTTAATTTATATAATTAACAATTGCTTCACTATAAACTAGACAAAATTTACTTCAAATGAAAATAGATTTTATATTTATTCAAACTATTTAAAGAGGACTTTTGAAAGGCTAAACTAAGCATGATTCAGTTCATAAAAAAAATTATTAGCAATTTTTTTTTTTTATATCATTATATGATTATACAACAGATACCCCACTTTTAGGAAAACTTTCTCATTTAATAAACTTTAAGCTCATATTAATTAAGTTGAGGTTTATTAGGCAAAAATTTGAGTTGCCTAAAATTACCAGTATTTTCAGCAACAATGACTACAATCAACTATTGGAAAGCTTTTATTTTTTTGTCCATGATCTGGGATATATTGTAATAAACATAATTGCCTAAATATACTTTTTATTTATAAAAAAAAAAAATTAAAAATAATGATTTTTTAAATATTTTTCATGTAAGATGTTTATGAAATTGTACTTTTATCCCAGATCTCAGTCATAGGAATTGATCCGTACTTATAAGTGGCAAACTTAATGTTCCTGATCCCAATGTTTACATTTTCATAAAAATAATTGAAGCAATCAGTAGGTTTCTTTAATTTAAACAGTTTATTTATTTTTTTAAATATTTTAAATTGTTTAAAAAGTGAAAAATGGCCCCATTTTAAAAAAGACAAAAGTACTAAGAAACAATGCAAAAAGATCACATAAACCTCATAAAGATATGGATAAGAATAAAAAAGGCTAGTCAAGAATAATATGATCTGAACAATAAGTGGTTAGTAGTCTTTAAGGGATTTATTTTAACTCTTTTTAGCCCAGAATGTACTTTATGATATGAAATTTTGTTTAAGCTAGGGACTTTACTTCAAATAAAATATGAATATTGTCAATTTAAGTGGAATTTCATAATCTCAAATCACTGAGAACTTTGATGAATTTTCACTTTGTAATATTAAAAAATTCTGCGCTTGTTTTAACTCTATCTGATAAATAAAAGAAACCCAATTGTCTCATTTTAGTGGACGTACTATGTTTTTTTATCAATAAATAAGGTCACAAAAACCTTCTTAAAAGCCCAGTCCCATCAAAAATGTATTTAGGATGAAAATGAAACACATCGGTGACTTTTTATAATAAACCGACAATATATTTGTTTAAGTAGATATGTTTAAGATTGTATATTTTCATTTTCCAGAACGAAGTTAGATGTTTTCCAGATCATAGTACATGTCAAGGCTGATTATTTACTTTAAAAAATTTAGGGCACAGTCCACTTTGGTTGATGTTTTAATTATTCTGCTCTAATCAACAGTAGAATAAAGGCCAAGGTAAATAAACATTAAAATGACAAGTGCAGTCAATAATCATTCCAACTATGTCAATTCCAAGACATGATAATGTAATGTTTGAAAAAAAAAGTGTACCACTACAACTCATGAAGGGTCTTGGGTCCAGTACTATTTAGCAAAAGTACTGTTTCATGGCCACGGTTATGCAGAGATGAGATCGGGCCAGGATCACACTCAATCTCCAGGTTTTTCCCCATAATTAGTTATATAACTAAGGATACCCACTTTGTAGAAGCTGGGTGAACCCCAGGAGGATCCCGCTACTCCAGGGTCGCCCCACGGCTAATGAAACAGAATAAATAAATTTTCTGCCATGAGCCGATATTCGAACCTGGGACCTTAGGCATTGGGAGCTTAGTGCCCTACCACTGAGCTACCCTGCTCCCTTTGTTAATGTTTGAATTAACTTATATTTTTGCTGCTGAAGACAACATTTGGGTTACTGTACGGTACCACCTTAAATATTTCTGGGCCACCATTTTATCAGTTGCAATGATTCCTTAAGTTTCTAGTTCATAAGAATATTTTATGTAATACTGCTCATGATCGGGTCTTATCATATCCTTAATACACCTGTAACTTGGAGCACTACCACTATATTTTTCACTTTTGGTGATTGGTTGCAGGAAAATGTTTTTTTTTTTCAATAAAAAAAATCTTTAAATGTATCTAAACATCTTTAATTGTAATTTATTTCCTAGTAAATAAATTTAGCTGCCACCTGACCACATTAGAAGACAGCTGCAGAAAATTCAACAACACTAGTGACCGAATAAAAGTAAAAATTATATCTTTAAAATAAAACAAAGGAATCCATTGCCACTGCTCAACTACGTTTCGGGATGATTAAAATCGTTATGGAGAAACAAGAAATAGAGTAACAATTTTTTCTTTTGTATGAAAAATTAAATGTTTTAGACTTGCTCATCCTAAATCACTTACCTTTAATACTTCTCATAATAAGTTCATTCATATCTATAAATATCTTCTGTTTTGAACATACTGCAATAATTAAAACAAAAAAAAGAAGTAAAAATTACAAAACTTAAAAAGATTTATAAATTAAGAATGAACTATATGGAGCAAGGGCATCACCAGATCTGCCATAAATCAGAAAACAATTAATTCATCAACTGGCAACGCCCATGCTGCTAAATAATCTAAATGAAATAACAGTATTACAGAAGTTCCATAAGATAAGAAACCTAGCAAGAGAATAAAAGTACTACTTCTAAAAAAAGTAACTTCACATAACAAATAATGCTTAGCAATGTAGATAATTTTAATTATCTACACAAACCTAAGCCTAAGATAGAAAAAAACACTATGTTAATAGTCCATGGTACAGACCTCTCTTTTTCAAATTATTAACATCCGTCTGAAACTTCGTATAAGCTTTATCTCATTGTAACCAACAACTATTTTATTTTCGAAAATTTTCAGAATTGGGGAATTTTCAACCTGGAGATCGTCCAACTTTGTCTATTTAATTAGGCACAAAAAATCGTAAATTAATATTTTTGATATTAATTAATTTGAACACTAACTCGAGAAAAAAGGTGGCATTAAAAAATATTGAGCCGTTTGCCATGACCTACACTCCCAAAATGTGAAAATAACAAGATTTTGGAGGCTAAACAGCCCAATATTTTTGTAGGCCACCTTTTTTCTCGATTATGTGATCAAATTATCTTACGATCCACGTGGAAAGCAAATGGGTATATACAAGTTTTTAGTACCTCATTAAATAGAGAAAGTTTGCAGACCTCCAGATTGAAAAAAAAACTAGTGGCAGAGTCTAACAAGGATTACAATGGAGTATATTATTTAAAGTGAAATCTATCACTCTAAAGCCATTGATATAAAAAATATTAGGCTAGAGAGTTGAGGATCGAACAACAAAGATAAATTTGTAAATGATGTGGTATTCTTTTAAACTTGTATGGGGACAAAGATGGAAAAAAACATAAATGCTAACATGGACTACCTCAAAAAAACTTACAGCAACCAAAAAACTTAAAAGAAGTTGTGGTAGCCAAAAAATGTCGTTTTAAAGAACATTTTTTAGGGTAATGCATGGGACATTCAAGCAAAAAAGTCATTCTTTTAATTTAAAAAAAAATGTTCTCAGTCAAAAATCATTTTCCATGAACTTTGTCAAATACTGAGACATATTTCTATAAACGACACTTCAGTTGTGAAATGAGCTTTCTAAGAAAAAAAAAAATTGAAGTAGTCTCATTGTCTTTGATATATTTGCTAAATTTCATATTTTGTAAATAATTTAAACATTTTACTGGTCATACTGAAGGTACTCACAGGCCGGATTCAGAATGAAAGAGCAATATAATACCTGAACTAAAACTGATCCACCTATTGAAGTGGCAGTTATAGCAAATAAAAATCAGAAATGACAGTGTACATTTGTATGGCCAGGAACACAAAAAAAAATAATGAACTAAGTAAAAATGAAAAAAAGTTCATGGATTACTGAAGTCTGATTCTAAAAACTTTCAAGAACAAGAGAACATCAAAAGATAAAGACAATAGTCACCTAGTTGAACTTTTTAAAACCAAGCCTTAATATTATCTCTAGACATATGGCACCACAATAGACAGACAAAATTGTTATATAATGAAGCTTGATTTGACAGACCCTGCGAAATATGAGTTGAATATCATTTTGAGAAGGGTCAGTATCTTTGAACTAGAAATGATGCTCTGAAGTATTCATAGCATTATGTTAAATTTTTATTGAAAAACGCTATATACACATAATTCTCTAAAGAGCCATATTCTAATTAATGACCGGGACATTTCAAGAGATGATATGTTGTTATGTCGCAGAAGCTATCCAGGAAATTTATAAGGCTAAAAAAAAAAAGTTTAAACAATTTTGGATACCGCATTGCTAAGAAAAAAGGATTGTAAAAATAAGATAAAATATTGTAAGAAATAGTAGCAGTAATGATTTCAGAGATATGAGCACAAGATAGATTTTATTTGAATAAGTAAAAAAGTTTAAGTGTCAATAACATATAATAGCTAAAAGAAATTAAATTAAATTGTTGCAAGCAAAAAAATTTGGTTATTGTTGTGTTGTAAACTTACACGATTCACCCTCACAGTTCAGAATCCTTATAAGTAAGATCTAAATGACTATTATACTTCATGTTATTCCTTGTGGGTATGAAATGCCCCCTCTTACACTATATAAAAATAATTTAATGCTTTTGAAAATGAAGAAGTAAAAAATATAAGACCTGAGGATTGACAAGTAGACATATATGACTTTTATTTATATGATTACAGAATACAGGACGTTCTTGCATCCAGTAAGTAAAATGAAAATAATAGCATTGCGGTGATTGATATAAATATGTAAAGTTTGTGGGGTATATAAAAAAATAAATCATGATAAATGTATATATATATATAAAAAGTACAGAAATGGGCAAATGCCTTAAAACAAAAATTAAAACATATACCAATAAAATTTAGATTTGCAGAGTAAACAATTTCAGTGGGGAATAGTACAATGCCTACAAATGTTGATAACATCAAAACAAATTTCCATGGTCATTAGTTAAATCTTGTTCTTATTAATACAATTTTTGAAACTTGCAGATAAATTTCTACAGTATAATATTTGACTGCATGATCAAAATAACCAATCAACACATATTGTCAAAAAGACAAAATTTTCACTAATTTACTCACCTTTAAAGTCTTGCATTGGTGCAGGGTTGGGTAGAGATTTAACAGCATCTTCATATACTTTATGACTCTCTTCCATATATTTAGCTATTTCAGATCCTTCAGGGAACATTGAGCTATCAGTTAACTGTTTGTAAACCTGAAAATAAATTATGCCAATTAGTGAGATCAATTGAAAGCAAAACAGAAAATTGAATTATTTAAGTTATACGAAGTAATAATTTGTGAGAATTAGCCAGGTGAAATATAATTAAAATAAATTGTATAATTTATTAAGTTTTACAATTAATTACAGTGCAAAATCAATTGGTTAATGATTAGTACAACTCTCAAGTAAAGTTTGATTAATGCATAAGTTTTGTAGAATTTCTTAGAAAAATTAAACCTCATTGTTTGAATTTTGATGTTATGAAGCAAGAAATAAAAATAAAAATTGGATAACTAAGATGCACCCCTGTGAATCACATAAAAAGTATATTCAATAAAATATTTTCAATCCTACTTCCAACTCTGCTGACTTTATTAAGTGTTTAATGGTTAAGGGTTAGCAAAAGAGATATTTGTAGGGCATGAATAACACAGAAGCGATTACAAAAAATTTTAACAGTAACTAATCAGAATTACAAGTTAAAAAAAGAAATCTTGAATGGAAGAACAACAGGTAACTGAAATTAAATGTTTTTTTTTTTTTAATAAATTGATTAAATTTAATAAGCACAGTTATTAAAATATCTAAATAACAAGTAGGTGTTATATAAGAACAAAGATATATTAGACTAATATATTAAAAAGTGGTAAGGACAAGCCTTAACCTGAGGATTGGTAAGCGCTCCAGTCATAACTCTCCGCATCGCTGCGCCCATCGCGCTAAGATCATGTAACATGGTGAGGAAAGGATCTGCATCTTGCATAGCCATTAAGTGAGCATCCATTACACCAGACTTACTGCAAATGATATTACCCAAGATGCTAATGATCACGAAAAAAAGTTTTAAATTAATACATAATTAATTTTATTATTAATATAGGCACAAATAACACATTAGTTATACCATGGCTTTTCAGCATTAAAAATTAATGTCATAAAATATAAATGCAATTTTTTTTTTCATTTCAAATATAAAAGTACGAGTATATATCACTTTTCTCAGTCGTCACGAATATCGTGTTTCAATAACTATAAAACATCCTACTGAACCAAAGCTAATATAATGATGTCACTATAAAATATGCAATGCTAACCGATTGTGGCATACAAACTTATTCAACTGTTAAATTAATAAAATAACATTTTAATGTCCACTTGTGGTACAGAAATATGAAATTCACAATAATAGCTTTTTTCAGAGAGTTTTTAGTGTCTCCCAGAAGATACTCTTGGACTGTTCATAGTACCCTAAATCGTCAGGCAAAAATGACACTACTGAAGAGTTTGTGTTATCTTTTTGCCCAATTTGATGATCAAGAATGAATAGGCAATAGTTTTTAGTATTCATTTTTTGCAAGGCATGAAGTAATTCAAGCAGATTAAGTTGGTAGAACTTCACAATTGGCTGTCACCAAGATTTTCTTGGATGGTGGCCGAGTTTTAAGTTGATTGGTGTCCATTATTATTTTTTTTTTTTTTGTCATATCACGCTTTTTCCTTCCTGTTTTTTTTTCCTTGATATATTTTATTAATGACACATACAATTCATTACATATCACAATGAAAAAAAAAATTCTTTTCACAGTGAAAAGACAATCTATTTCCTAATGTTCATACTACTCAAAGCAGTCTATTTTCTACCAGTCATTTATTACTTCTTGTTACATCAGTTTTCATTATTCATTATTGAGAAAAGATCCTTGTCTCCTTTCTGTGAGTATCTTCCTTTTACATACTTCATATGATACTTTAAGTAATTCAATGAAAGATTGGCCTTCCAGTGGATTTTTCATTTTTAACAAAAACCACAACTTCTGCAATTTATCACTGTGATAACAAGTAACATTAAATAATGATTAATTTTGTCTTATATTTTATTATAATTACTTACCTGCTCTCTCGGAGGTGTTGAATTAAACGTAGGATAATTCGAGGCATCACAGCCTCAGTTACACACATGAGGTCATGAGGTGCGGACGGTTTATTAACTTGTGACATAGGCCCATGACGATCACAGAATCTATATAAAAAAAAAATAATAATTTACATACTTGTCAAAAATCAGTGATAAAAAGGCTAATTTTAGTTGCATGTAAACTGAAAACACACTTTACAATAAAATAAAACATATTATTTTTAAATATATAAAAAAAGTGAAAAGTGTTCATACATTTGATATTTTCTTTAAGATTTCACTTCCTGATAACATTGTATTACATGTGACCACCAAAAAATCTGGTCTAAACAGTCACTTTTACAAGAACAAGGAATATAAATTATTCATAATAAAATATATCGAAAACAATATAATCTGAAATAGAAGGGATAAAATAATTTACCCAGTTTCCTTCATAACTGATGTATCGCCACAATCACAAGCACCACCAGCTTGAGAGCGGAACATATTAAAGTCATGACCATCATGGTCACCCCGTTGAAAACATTCAGCACAGAGGGACATGCATGGTGAAATTCCACACGTACGACAGCGATAAGCTACAAAATTGGCAGTCCACACTAAACCACAAGTAGTAGCATTATCGTACCGACGGACTGAAAATAAAATTAAAAATCATGTATTATTTAACAGCATTATGTATATATAAATGTCAAAATATGTTTGTTGATAAAAATAATATTTCAATTTTCTATTAGGATGCCCAATATATTCCTTTTTAAGCTCACAGAATAACATCGTTTTTATAACAAATTAGAAAAAAATTTAAATCCACAGGATCTACTTTTTAATTGCCTGTGATATGTGTGTGTCAGATTGTTAATTGAGGTAAAAAAATTATTGTAAAAAAAAAATGAAAGTGAGTCAAAATTCTTGAAAAAAGTGAATCAATTATTCTCCAATAAGCTGATTGAAATAAAAGATGAAAATACTTAATCACCCGGCAGCGTAGTCCTATGTTTTATTAATTATGAGGCTATCTTAAAAAAGAAGGTTATGAAAATAAGCTGAGGAAACTTAAACAATTAAAGGAAAATATTTCAGTAAAACTGACATCAATTTTTGAACCCATCTGTCCTCTTGTTATTGAATATCTTCTCTTAAGATAAGAAAAATTAAATGAGTGCAACAGATTTAGACAATATCAAATGATTTTCCATGGTGTTCACATTTTTAATAAATAAAGGAGATCTTAATTTATATTCATTTAACTTTTAAATTGCACTCATTCTTTTTGGTATTTAGGTAAAGATTTTAAGTATAAAATCATTATATTTAGCAAGTATCATTAATTTGCCAATCATATATATACATAGACATACACACACACACACACACACACACACATATGTATATAGTACATATATATAAGCAGCGACAATTTTGTTTCATTTCTTATTTGTATTGTATATAGTTTCATTAGTTTGGTTTTGTATATTCTGTTAGTTTGCATAAGGTTTTTTATTTATTTAATGTAACAGTTCTTCTGGCCAGAAGTAATTATTTTTTTCAGGATCATTCTATCATTCTTAAGGAACTTTGTCCCAAAATATAGTTATTTTTCTATTTTTTTTTCTTATGTAATAAATTACTTGAAATTAGATTAATTTTCTTTAATTATATATTAAGCAAAATATATAATTAAAGTATCAATCAGAGAGATTGTTATAATACTCAATAAAGAAATTAAAAAAAAAAAAAAGTATCAATAAGTTAAATAATAAGTTTATTTCCAACAAGGTTCCCATAAAAAATAATTCCAATTTCTCAAATTAATAACTTTAAAGAAACAAAATTAGGCAATGATATAACTGACATAAGAAGTACTATGTATATTTAGTTTTTTTTTTTTTTTTTTTTGTCCAAACAGAAAAATTATTAATTCCCAGAAGCTACCAGCAATCTGTTCAAGTAACAAAGGAAAATTCCATAGATGATCTCATAGGAATTAAAGTGACCATAAATACTTTTTGTGTTTCAACAGCTTAGGTAGTTTAAATATTGAATATAAAATCATGAGAGATAATTTTTAAAATCAAGCAAATATAAATAAAAAAAGGAGCCTACTTCAATTAATTTTACCAAAGTATAATACTCGAATAAGGCTGTTATAAATTTTAAGAAAGCAATTTAGAATTGGTTCCCATAATCATGCTCATTATATTTATGTTTTACAACCAACATAAAATATTTAATTGAGTCTCTGATTAAATTCCAGTTTGGACATATCTAAATTATCCAAATTTTATTTTTTGGTGGTCCCAGTCTCCCAAGTCCAGCTAAAAAGACAATCAGTTCAATACTGTCATACTGTGTACACCTCTTAACAAGTTAATCAAGGTAATACATTCAAAAAGTATCTTAATTTAAGTTAATATATAAAAATAAGACATAGGAACTAATATGCCATTTGAACCAAAATCATCTACAGTGAATTTATACACAAGTGAACTAAATGAGAAAAATTAGAATTACAGTCTAGATTAGATGATCAAGGAGTTGTTGAGAGACAGGAATAGAATTAAAATCAACAAAATATCAATGATTTATCATAAATACAAAAATATAAAGTTTCAGTATCAACCTTGCCATTGTTCCTTAAAAAACCCTGACCCAAATATCACTACTTCTTAAACTTATGACTATATATTGAACAATGTAATGCAATAGAGAAAACAATATAGAAAGTGAAATCGGAGTGTTTAAATTGTTTCACACATAAGAGAGTAGATATTAAAAGAATTTGGAAAAGTATTGACAATAAATAAAAAAACAAGTTCAAATCTGATATTGTTTTCTATTTGATGGAAAGACCAATTAAATAAATTGCTTTCAAACAAATGGAAATCATATTTAATCAAATGAACTTAGCAAATGTTTCAATAGAACCCACATCACTTAACTTATGGACATGTCTTAAGGTCATTGCCCCTTAAGTTTAATAAAATTTCAGAATTCTTCTGTTACAATTAAATAGACTGTGGTATATTTCTGTAATTTACAAATTATTAGATAATGCAATAATTAATTACACCACATTAATAAGGGCATACATAGAAACAAGATGAAGGTTGAATATTATCACTATTTACTAATAAATTGTAACTGGACAGATAAAATAAAATAAAAAAACAGCATGCATATTTAAACCTTACGTTGATGATGAAATAGCAACCTATTAGGAACCTAATTCCTACATTCAAAGCAATATTGCTTATGATTAGAATAAATAATAAAGTGATTATTTCATCAATTTTACAGCACATATATCTTAGCAGAAACTGATATATAAAGCATTATCCTGTCATAACATTTCTAGATTAAAATGAAACCTTAATGATAGCCAACTTTGATAGCTATTGATAGAGTTAACACAACAATTGAGTTCGTACAAAACTGAAATTATTCCTTCTTTTCAATCCACAAATACAATAAAACCAATGATAAACAACCAATCATTGATGTGACACTGTCTACTCCAAGAGGTTAGAAAGTTTGGATGCATAAGGCAACTGGTCAGATTAAGTTGAAACAAAAGCTGAAAAGCCTAATGACCATAAGTATTTATTGAGCTATATACCTATACTAGAAAATTCATCAGGTGTTCTTCCACCAGCCATAAGCCACTTGCACCAGTCAATTGTATCCCATTCATCAATAGCTTTAGATGGATTCAACAATATATCAAGTAAATCATCAAGACTTTTTCTTGGAGCAGAATTTGAACAATCTGCATGAATAAAAGCAGCAGCCCCTCTTTTGCCTTTCTTCATTAACACATATCCTGGTGAAGTTTCCATCCTTGCTGTTGATTTCTTCTGATCTTACTTTTGGAAGGTCAAAAATAAAAATTCATTAAATAATAATAAAATCTAACTATCGTCCAATTGCAAACCCACTTCTGCATTTTCAGCACAAGGTTATAAAATATTGATAGGGTCGAATGACGACTGTTGAGTACTGAATGACGGGAGCATTTTGATGTTTATATTAATAGGAAAATTAAGTATTCAGGTTGGAATTCGTGAATTATTGTTAAAATTTTCATTGTAATAATAAATTAATTTCGCTTGTAACACTCTAAAAGGTTTGAGTCGAGTTACATTGCACCACATACACACTACTCTTTTCTTCCCCTGGGCACAAATTATTAGGACTAATGAACTCGGAACTTCTCAGATGGCATTGGCACGACCTCACTTCATTCACAGCCTTCATTAAAAAACTTCTCATCACTTATATCCTTCTAAAATAAATCGACTAGGAGCATTTATGGAATAATCTTTAACAAATAACTCGATTCTAATCACTATTTAATTTTGATGAAACATTATTTATGAATTATTTTTAATGAGATCGATAAAAATATATCGATAGTTGAACAGTCGTAAGTGAACATTTAAAAGTAACTGTTAAATTCATCTTACTTATTTCTTACTTATTTACATACACTTATTTCTGGTTTAAAACAATTCATAGCCAATGTAGATTTTAATATTAAAATGGGCTCATCCCAACTATTAAATTTATAGATATGTAAGTTACTAATTGTAAACATAATATTTTATATTAAAAAATTCACTTGCGTACGTCTGGGATGAAAGTTGGCACCTTGGAATAAAAATCTATCATTTACATATAGTTGAAAAGTACAACCCTATATGTACGCCACTTCTAATATAACATGGTATCGTAAAGCCAGTTATAATATATGGCTGAGAGACCTGGACACTAACCAATGCTCTAGAAAAAAATATTGAAAGATTTGAGAGAAAAATCTTCCGCACGATAACCGGAGCAATCGGGGATCAGAGTACTAACACATGGAGAAGAAAGACCAATAGAGAGCTACTTATAAAAACTGGCCAATCAGTATCTCATGATTTGAATGCACGGTTAAGATAGGCAAAGCATGTAGCTCAGAGCAGTTCATCTGGAAGTCTCTACAGGACAATGAATTCCTCAATAGTAGGACAAGACCTCGTGGAAGGCCGAAAAGCAGATGGATAAGTGCAAAATATAAGCAGATCGAATGTTGTGTGTGCTATTAATCGTTATCTCATTGCTTATTTATGTTCTTCTGGCTATATCTTATATTTCTGAGCATATTTTTAATTTTAGCACTGATGTCAGCAAACCGAATAAAACAAATTTACACAGACCGAAAATCCTGATTATTAATCATCCTGGTAATCTAAGTATAACATTTAATAAAATTATCCACCTCCAAATCATATTTTATTTAGCGATGCAATTAATAACTAACATATAATTACTATATCATACGCACAGCCACATCTTCAATTTTTTAGTAAGAAGGTTGGGGGTTTCAAAAATCATACTTACATCATTGGATCTTAAATTCAATTTTAAATTAGGACCAAAAGCATAGCAGATTCTTGCGGGGCTAACTTCTGCCTCTTGGAGCGTGGAGGAGGCTGGGGCAGAGATTTGACTTCCTTCCTCAACTCAGTCCTACCATATATCAGTCAATAATTATTCAGGTTAATGGAGTACACTGGTATCAAGAATTGAAGAAAGATTGTTATATTGTAAAAAAAATTAACCTTTATTACAAACTACACTAAAGGATTTATTATTCGTCTATTCGAAGCAATATTCCTTCTCTAAAATTGTTGAATATTTGACATTATACTTAAAACCGTACATATTTATGTAAAGACAATTCACTAGTAAAAAAAAAAATCATATAACCACACTGCCGAAACATTTAAAATTTAACGACACAGATTTTAAGGACTGTTTTTTCATCTCTGCTCATACTTGCTATTATAGAAGCTAGGATACTGAATAACCCTTGGGAATTTCTTGTTTACTTTTACTTTTCGTAAAACCTCCAGTTGTCGGCACCCACCGCAGTTATTGAAGAATATTAAGCTTGCGAATGGTCTAAAGCGAAAGCTCATTAAAAAGCGAAAATCTCTTCTGGGTATTGTTGCAACTCCCACTATTTATTACGAGGGTCGCCCAGAAAGGACGTGTCTTACGTTTTTGGGAAGAAACACACATTTCTGCTTAGTTTCATTGTGGTTGACTCATTCTGAAAGCTGTCGGATTTAATTCTTTGGGTTTTTGAAAATTGGGTAATAAGTACCGAAAACTAGCGCATATTTGTTCATGTTTCCTTTTTACTATAAAAAATAAATGAAAGATACTGTTTCACATATATATTTTGAAATAAGAGTAAATCTTTGCTGACTTAACAGAACCGAAATTGTTACGAAGAACGAAGTACCCACGAGACTGAAAATGGGAAAAACGCATTTTAAAGTTTCCTTAAGGGTGTCGAAAACTCGTGATTTTACCCTATAAATATAATCACTTTTAGATGTACTTACAAAAGAAAACGGTGAGTGCACTACCATTACCATTTGTGTACTTTTGAGTTAAAGGCAAATAAAAAATGTGAATCCATCCTGACTTTTTAAAAAAAATATTAAAACAAATTTGGTGAAAATTCGAAGCAAAACGTTTTCATTTTTCGACTACTATGAAAATTCGCATTTGAGTGGTGATGTAATTTTGTATGAAAATGGTGAGGAAGCTATACTGGCTTCAATCGACAGAGTTTTTTTAATCTTATGGGTTTTACATTCATCGAATCAGTTTTGAATATGCCTCTGACTTCTCGAACTGTAGTGTAATTAGGTAGAAAACACCGCTAGGTATCCAAAAAACGAAGATTCTATTTAAGAGGAGAAATATCGATGATCACATTCGACAGCGAAACATTTTGTAATGGCCAGTAACAAATCTTCAACCAGAGGGTAACTTCATTATTGAATTGTTTTTTCCCTTTATAGTACCTACTCTATATACTTTTGGAAACACAGTTTCTTAGTTAAATATTTTTCTAGTTTTAGAAGACGTTATATCTATGCTTCCTCACTAGCAAAGGCTGTATTCACATGAGAAATCATTTTGTGCTTATAATCCAAACTTTCCACTCCCGTTTTATATTTCAGACATAAAGGAATTAATTTGGTTCTGTGTCTGTCAGTAATCAAATCCAACCACACAAGATCAAGCTTACTGCAATCCTTCCACCTTCACTTCAGTCTACTGCTACCAGTTGGCACTGCACTCAGCAATCTTGGATTTTCTCACAACCAAGCCCTTGGGTTCATTTTATTTATTTAAAAAAAAAAAAAACCCTATCTGTTATTAAAAGCAGCCACTAATGGCACCCATAAAGATCGGCAGAGAATGAAAAGGTTTTATAAATCATAATTTTTAAAGTTGGGGACAGAAAGGTGCAGGGGTGCCAATAAGGGGGTTTTAAGTTGTGCCATAAAATTTTTTGAGTTGGCCACATTTCGAGGGACTCAGGAGTTTTCGGATTGAAAAGTTTCAAATGCCAACAATTGTAATTGTATATGATTTACGGTACTTTTATTTCTAATGTTTTTAAGAGACCAAAAAAATATCTTGATGAGGGATGGGCACCCCTGTTTCAACCAGAAATAATTCCCAGCTCATAACCTGAACATTATTTCCCTTCTGTACCTGCAACTAACTATATATTTGTAATTCTTTGGAGGCTGCTTTCAACAGTTTTTTGCTTTACACTTTGTATTTTAAAAACATACCAATTTAAACCTATAACTGATCCTACCCACATTCAAGTTTTTCCATATATCACCTCTCTAATGACAAACTAAATACTTCTGGTTACTGATTTTAACCTCATTGAATGTTCTTATCATGAACATCTGAATATAGAGTATTATACAGCTTTATCAGTCAAGGGAGTTAAATTTAAAAATGATATTAAAATGATGAACACAGTGGTACTATATCTCTCTCTATTTTCATAAGGGCGATATTTTATTGATAGGAAAATGGTTTCTTCAGGAACCATCTGTTTAGGGAATAAAGGCCAAGGCCAAGTTCATTCTGTGCTCTGAAACAGGAATTACTAAAACCTGAAGATATTATTAGATCAAACCTTAAGGACCTAATAGAAGTTATTAAGGAAGATCTACTTGGGTTGTGGTGAAAAGGGTTTTACATCCTCAGAATAGAAAAAAATCAAATTAAGATTTTGAGGCATTAACACTTCATTTGGGAGATATTTTGTTATTATTTTTAACTTCAGTGTGATACATACTTTATCACACATAAAATTCTTAGGACTTAATAATTTTATATCATAAAAGATTATTTAGCCATTGTAATTCCATGACAGGTAGTTTACCTGAATATTATCTGCATTAAAATACAGAAAATAATATGCTATAATTATTATAAATTAAGATAATTATATCATCAATCTAGCGCTTCTGTTTTATTTAACATAACTAACTCTAAAGGAATTAGGTAAATAAAAAATAAATTTTTAAAATGAATATATTATTAAGAAATAAAAAAACAAGGAATTAAAACCTTAATTTTTCGAAAAACCACTTGCTTTTACCTTGCTTGTACCTGAAAAAAAAAAAAGATTATCAATAAATTTTAGTTGAAATAAAAATAAATATAGAGAAGACTAAAGACTACAGAATAATCTATCTTGTTTACTAGAGAATAAATCGGGTGAAGAATCCTGGAAATAACTTCCTGAGAACAACATATTTTTGCCAAATTTCAAATGGACAGTGCTTTATAAATCAATGTCATATTAAGCAGTCAATAGGAGCCAATTGGTACCAACATAAGAAGAGCATATAACTGCACACAATAATAGTAGTTTTTAATCTTAGATACTTTTTATTATGTAAGCCATCAAAAGTTACTGCAAATAACTTCTCGATTCCTATTGATATTTTGATATTCCTCCTGTTTTGATATTCCCAATTAAATAACTTTTTGACAATATTAAATATATGAGCCTTATATTAAGGGGTATCCTCATCAATATTTTTGAAGGGGAACATTTCGATGAATTTCGAAATGAAAAGTTCCAAATCAGGGGCAAGTGGAAAATATGAAACAGATCGCACATAGTGTAATTGTATACGATCCACAAATTTCTAAATTCTACTTTCAATTGCACTGTTTTTTGAGAAGAGAAGAGCATAGAATATCTTGAGAGGCTAGAGAAGATATTTGTGACATTGACCTTGGAGGTGATAAACCCCTGCTCTGTTTCTATCAATATATTTAAGTAGAGTCAGAACAAAAAGAAAACTGGATTAATGACTTTATTTAAGATCGGAACTATTTCTGAAAAGTTTATTAGCAGCTTGTTCTAGAAGTAGGCAACAGATAGTGGAATAATACATATATTACTCAAGGACCTGCCTTTTAAACCAAAATTCAACTCAGTGTGAACTATCATATATGTTCTAACATATCGAGAGTAATCTTCATTTTTTTATTATCTATTAAATGTTATTTCCGAAATAAAATCCACCCCAGAAAAGCCATATTGGTTATCAAGCTGTCTTTTGTTGTATCCTCAACTTTAATCTACAATGAATACTATCATTGTATCTTTAATTCAATATACCATTCAAAGTTCCATGTTTTCTCATTAAAAACTGTAAACAGATATGTCTAAATTAAATGTTTGTCTGAAATATGAAATCAATCCACTTAGCAGAAAACATTTATGTATTTCAAACAGCTCTGTTTAGCATCACTTTGTTACAAATTAACACTAAGGTATAACTTGTCTTTGAACTATGATGCAGTATCATCATATAAATAAAGACTACATTTAGTGTAACATTAAAGAAACTTATAATAATAATTATAATATGTAACTATTATAATTAAAATATAAATGTAATATAATTATTATTACTAGCATGTTCTTATGAGTATGTTTGAACTTGTAGATCTCCCCTAAAAGGGTAATGGTCTAACTTCCTGCTGGGACCAGCTGTATTGGGAAGTAGAGGCTGGGATTCAATCCTGTGAATTTTACTTTAACTAGTATAGCGTGCTAACCACTCTGCTATAACGGCCCCAAAAACTCTTGTGATTTGAATGTAACCAAAGACAAAATCAATGAACATTAAAAATCAAATACATAGAGAGGAACAAATGTGTTCACTTATACCAGTTATGTAAGTGAAAATCATTTATTTACAGTGCGATTGGTTTCAACATTATATTGCTTTTTAAATTCTCGTAAGTAAGCTCTTGGGATTCAATTTAAAATCTATCAGTTTAACATATCTATGAAAACATGTATAAGGAAATAAAATTTACTCATCGAAGAAAGTGTACAAAAGAGGATTTACTCTATTATCTTTATGCTGTTTGTGATTACATTTCTTTCTTCTTAACTGAATTCAATGGTGGAATCTGATGACTCTCTTGAATGATAGGTCAAGTATTTATGATAGGTGTTAAAATTCATTATCAATGCTGAAGTTACAAATGAAATAAAACATTTAATTTCTTGGATTAAAATAATGTCCAGTGAACCTAAATATATATTTAACTTATAGAATTTCTTCTTTAATAATATACAATTTTTTTAAAAATAAATATATCCTATACTTTAATTATTAAATAAATTAAATTAATGTCAATCAAGTTTACTTTTCTTTTAGATTTTATCCATTTGGTGAATGATTAGTCTGAGAATTATCACAAAATAATTCTACCGACAACAAAGGCAACAAATCATAATATTAATATTAATATATATATATATATATATATATATATATATATATATATATATATATATATACGTGTGTGAAATAAATTTAAACTAAAAATGTATACCTTTCTTCAAATTTCACTCTAACTTGGAAACGTATTTTCTTCTTCTTCATTGGGTCCTTCAAATCTTTCGTAACCACCTTCTGGTCAGGGGCGATCTCAGATACTGTGTAACGAGTGGGCATAAGGTGGTTGTAGTTCATAACCTAAATCATAGTTCATTAAATAACAGAAATAAAAATTCACGTATAAAAGCAAAACACATTATGACAATGGAAAGGTTTAAATATGTACAACCATTGCTCAATCAGCTTTATACGGAAGGTGTATCATACTCAGTTGCGTAAAGAATAACCACAGGATGAAAAATTAATATTTTTCTAAAATAAAACAAATAATAAATAAATCTAAAATAAAAAAAAAAAAAAGTCCATCATACCAAAATGCTCAATATCAGCATAAAAAACATTTACAAAAAGTTCTCAATTAATGCAGAAAAACTGAAAAGAATGGAATTTTTTCTTCTTAGGAGGTTGTGAGAAAGGCCTAATTGGAAAAGTATCCAATAATACTTCTAAAGTAGTTCAAGGCAATGAAATATTGAATTTAATAAACAACTGGAATTCTAGATTGTGGTTTTGCTTAGTAGAGTGTAAATGGAATAATTATGTTTCAATAAATAAATAGAAAACCAAGCTTTTTAAGGTTACATAAACATTGTTGGCACCACGTTAAAGTAACGAATGTGAGCCTGTTTATTGTTGCACATACACTACACTACATTAACATAGTACCGATGATAAAATGAACAATTTTAAATAAATACAAACCATGAGAAAAAATAAATAAAGAAACAGCAAATACTAGTTAATTTGCAACGATATATCAATAATTATGTCTTTAAGTTTGAAGACTTAAACTTAAACCACCTAGATGAGTCCAATATTTAATTTCTTGGATTAAAATAATGTCCAGTGAACCTAAATATATATTTAACTTATAGAATTTCTTCTTTAATAATATACAATTTTTTTTAAAATAAATATATCCTATACTTTAATTACTAAATAAATTAAATTAATGTCAATCAAGTTTACTTTTCTTATAGATTATTTTATCCATTTGGTGAATGATTAGTCTGAGAATTATTACAAAATAATTCTACCGACAACGAAGGCAACAAATCATAATATTAATATTAATATATACATATATATATATACGTGTGTACAAACTATACTTATTAAAAATATTTTTTATCCCTTATATATGAAACGGAGCATATATACAAGACAAGTTGTACATCAATAAAGAACAGCAAGCATCTGCCTTATATGGCTGGTTTGAATACTTGTTCCTCAAATCCTAAGCTAGTAATATAGATAAAAAGTAAGTTGTTTAAAATAACATTTTTAGTTATTCCTTGGCTAAGTTAAACCTTGAGATCCACCATGCCAAACCTCTCACTCTAAATGATTGTCTAAAAGGATCAGGAAGCTTATTGCTATCAGCTAACCTTAGAACTTAAAAACCAATAGAAACTAGCAGTAACAAGAATGTAACAAGGCATTTGCTTCATCCAGAGATTTATGTTGTAAACACGTTATGTTTATTAAAATAATTAGGATATTTTACAAAATTACCACTTAAAAACCCTAATGCTACCTTTTTTTTAATCAGAAACCAAACAATTAACTGAGGGAAAAATGAAAAAAAAAATGCAGTTCCTTCTAGTGGAAATAGCAATCAATGGTCGAGGTAGAAAATTTGAATTTTTTATGAAGTGATCAATACATCTTAACATGGATATTAGATTTGTTTCAAGAATTCATTGATGAAACTGGGATTTATTTCAATGAAGAGGCTAGGTTTTAAGTATCATTGGCTTGGAAGTAAAAGTGATCAACTAAATTTTTTGTAAAATTAATGTTTTATATCTACCAGTTCTAGAATCAAATCTGTACTTAAGTACTAAAAACATTGTGGAATAATCAATTATATTGGTAATCTTTAGAAGTGTTTCTCTACTTTGAAGGGTGGGCACAAGATCTCACTATAAATGGAATTTAGAGAATGACAGAATGAGTATAAAATTAATTAAGGACTTGCCTAGTAAGGCCTCAGCATCAACTAAAAAAAACCTGGAGAGGATTGCTCATTCCTTTTGAGCAAGCATAGCGAGTAGAAGTTAAAAGGAGCAATCTAAATAAAGGTAGATTATACCAGCGAACAGGTTGTCAATATTATAAATAAATATATATATATATAAAGTAAATAAACACTGTTAAAGTACTGTTACAAGGCCAACAGTTGTGCAGGAAGTTGATGGGCCAATATCATACTCAACCACCAGGTTTTCTCCCTAATTTATTATTCTTCCTAATTATTTAATTAAGAGTACCCACTTTAGAGCCTGAGTTTGCTCCACGAGGATCCCCCAGCCCCACGATGACTTGAGTAGATCTCAACTAACGTAAACATTCTCTACGTATGAAAAGACATATTTCACACCCTCCATTTTGAGATTCGGCTAACAGTAAATTTGAAGTGATCTTAAACTCATCACATTGTGGTGTATCAATTAGGAATTAGTATCAAGGGCTAGGCAAAATATATAAATAACGTAAAAGAGTCACAAATCACAGATTTGTAAATATCTAATCAAGATATTCATAAACAACAATAAGTATCATGAGTAATATTCCCTGAAAAGGAGAATTTAAATGAGATTAAAAAAATCAGGATTTGGTAATAAGAGATGCTTTTCAACAAACATGGTACAGGATAAACTTTACATTAAATATATTGGAAAAACACAGAAACACTGCTAGTTTATATTCACTTCGACAGCAACATTAAGAATATGCAGTAGAATGATATGCCACAACTAAGAAGACAATAGAATTGTATCATATAACTAACTCATAATACTTAAAATAGTAAATAATTACCTTCAAGAAAGGCTTGATCTTAGACCTCTTGTGGATTTTTGTTTTGCTCATTCTCTTATGAACTTTGCGGGGATAGCGATCAATGCCTGCAATTATTGCATGCCCATATGCCTTCTCTTGAGTTCCTTCATCACAAGTTTTAAGCACAATTGCTTTTCTTCCAGCATATCTACCACTCAGCACCAACACAACTTTACCAGATTTCATAATCTTCCCCATTTTGTCTTCTAAAACAAATGAACTAGGTAATAATACAATTTATAAATTAGTCACGCTCATTCAACTAGAATAAGTCAGAAGACGAGAATATAAAATAATTCTAGATAAATCAAAGTGAATAGATACAATAATATATTAAAATAAAGAACTTGATCTTAAAAATTGCTAGTAGTGTGGGAGGTTAAATAGCGAAAATGTAACAAGGGGAAATTTAACTGAAATTAGCAAAAACTACTTAATAAAAGACTCAATTGTATAATTATGGCAATAACACTAAGTTAAATTAAGAATGACTTACGATGAATTCGGATGAAATTGTTAATCCGACGCACCAACTATTCCTGAAGAACCTCAAAGAAACCCACGTTGTTGTTACCAGTGTTGACAACACTGTTTTAAAATTACAACTAACAATTAAATTATTTATACCAATTACCAAATTCTTATCTCTATTACTAATACACTAATAAATATATAAATACTAAGAAGCTTTTTTTTATAATATTTGCAATAACTTTCATTCAAATAATTTCTTTGAAAATTTAAAGTGAGTAAAACGTAAGGGGGGCAACAATGTCTTCAATCAATATACCGATATGTTCACGAATGCAGTGTCTTTGCACTTAAATTAGTTATATAATTTCTCAATTTTGTTATAATTTTTATTTTAAATATTGTATATTTATACCACATTCCCTGAATAAAAATAATATAGTTGTAAATTAATTAACAGCAATCCTTCCAGATTAGGTTGTTGCCTTTAGTATCATTTACAAATGCTATTCTGATTCGACTTTATGGATTTTAGGCGAAGGGGGAAGTAACTTGTAGAATTGTTATTTTATAAAATAATATTATAAAATACTTTATGAAGATCTTTGATGTAAACTGAATCAAAAAGTCTGTGAAAGTCCTATCTGTACCTATTTATATTAATTTTAAAATCACAGTAGCATTCAGGTTTTATTTTATATAAAATACTTCGATATTTTTCTGGTCTTTAATTGTTCTTAAAATTATTTTGTCATCCAGTTTCGTAAAAATGGCATGCCAGAAATGTCTAAACGAAAAAAAAAGTTGAAAGACATGTTCTTTCAAACCTTATGTTTCTACACTTTCTTTTAATTTTCTCCTTTATGTATAGCAAAACAGTTCAGTGAGTAAGGCACTGTGATCCCATACTCTGGGTTCCAAGTTTGAATCGGGCTTTAGCAGGTAATTATTTATTCTGTTACATTAGTCATAGTGTGGCTTCTATGGCTACAGGCCGCGGTACAAACCACTTTTTATCAAATTATTAACATCCATCTAAAACTTCCTGAATGGTTTCATCTTATCCTAACCTACCACTTATCTATTGGTAACTCTCATAAATCTGGTGATTTCTCATTAAATTAATTAATTTTAATTTAATACCCCTTTGCTGCTTTCCACTTGAATTATGAGATAATTTGATCTCAAAATCGATGGCCTCAAAAAGGGTGGCCTACAAAAATATTGGGCTGTTTTGTCTACAGGATTTCAGTGGTGGGGTTGTTGGCAATATTTTTACAGGCTACCATCTTTTTTTCAAATTTGTGATCACATTATTTTACTCTCCATTTCCAAGAATTTTCTTTAATAAAAAAGTTGTAGGTGAAGTTATGATGAAAACATTCAGGACGTTTTTGACTAATGCTATTAATTTGACAAAAAGGGGTCTATACTGCTTACTACTGGAGACTATGCTGGGACCCAACCAGGCTCTATGAAGTAGATAATCTTAATTAAGTTGAAAAACCTGACCATTGAACATAATCTCAGTCCAATCTCTTCATTGCATATAAATCGCTCATCTTTGATCAAAAACAGTACTTCCTCACAAAGTGTTACTTAAATTCACTATATGTGTTGTAGTAGCACAGGTTTTTTATTTTTATTAGTGTACACATATTCAGGAGTGCCCAGAAGGGGGTATCATAGCACTAATTGTGCGATCAATATTTATGAGGCGGCACTTTTTGACGGAATTTTCAATTTTTGAAGGGGGCACATTTTGACGGAGTTATGAATTTTCAAAAAAAAAGTTTCAAATTAAAAGACAAGCGGAAGCATGGAACAGATCTCATTATGTGTATTTGTATATTATCTACAAACATTTAAATTCTACTTTTGTTTCCACTGTTTTTAATAAGAGAAGAATAAAATATCTTGGGAGGAAGGGGTGGGGGAAGGTTTATGGGCCATCGGCCTTGGGGGAGATGGGCACCCCTGGACATATTGATCCATAATACCAATAATTATTTGCAATTTATGCACTGGTAGATCAAAATACTGTATTCTCCATGATTGATAGCTAGCTTTAAGTTTTTCATTTTCTTTATTTTTTTGCCACATTTATTGCCGAACATCAGACCCAAAAATGTTGAATTTCTACTTTTCCGAAAATAATATTGAATCTCAGAAAGAAGGAAGCCCATTGCCAAGCTAGAAGGTAATAATATTTGTCTGTGGGTGCAAGAGTACAAAATGAGTCTTAAGTTGCATATAGTTAATAGTATCAATTCATTTTTATTAATATATTAAGGGAAATTCTAAGTAAAGTTAAGATTACAAGGAAAGTTTGTCTTTTAACAAGATTCCCTAAACCATATGACCTTAAAGATCAGGAATGGTTTTTATTAAATACATTCCATCATCTGAAAACACTCCCTAAATCTCCTTACTTTAAATCAAAAATCAATCCTTGTATAAGAAAATGATGGGTAAGGAATAAAGAAGAATTACAAAAAGTAATTGTGGAAGACTGGGGAAAATATTGGAGAAATTTCTGGTAAGTTGTTAGGTTCCATAAAAACCCATTAGTTTGAAGTGATCAGAAAGAGGACCCAAAATTCTATATTATACATTAACAAATTAATTATAATATGTCAAGTTATAGTATTCACGGATTTTTCTCGCCATGTGCATGACCAAATGTGATGAAATAATTTAATGAACTATTAATAGCAAGGAAAATATCAGAGAATTCTCACTCTAATTTTAAAACAGGAAATTGTTTTAACATGTTTTTAATTTTAACATGTTCTCTATGTTATGCATGTATATTTGTTTTATTTTTGAATTGCTTATCTGTTTATATTTTGGGATATCATAATTATGGATGTAGAGAGAGAAATAGTTTATTTAAAGTGGTTGCTTGATATTTCCTTCTACCTAGGGTTGCTTGATGGCATACCGATCATTTTCTTTTAGACATAACACTAACTCTTACACATTGTCTAATTGGTTATGCTGCAGCAATGCAGCTTTGGAAAGTAGTAGCTAGCATTAGATAGAGAAAACTAGTGGTCAATGTTGAAGCGGGCCAAGACTCAACTCAATGGGCCATAGAGCCAATAGGGGAAGAAGTATGCAGCTATTTGTTTTGAAATAAGGTAAATATTAAGATTCATATATTTGATTGTCAAGATAAATTTCAATGTAAAATAGATATTGATGAGTAAAAGCACCACCATTGTAGGTTCGCTTTTTCAGTGTCAAGTAGTATCTTGGGAGTTAACTATTGCTGCATAAGTAGTGCTAATATGAAGTTAATATTTATTTTCTTAATATTAAATATTAAGTAAATATTAATTTGAAATCGAGGATTAGCGTAAAAACTCAAATAGTGCAACTAAGCTTAAAATAACTACAAATTTACAAAAACTAGAAAAAACATTAACAATCAACTTAGTGATTGAAATAATTAGATTTACCTCATTTTATCAACTGTAAGAACCGAAGCTATTACTGAAAACAGGTGTTTCAGAAGTAAAACAGTTGTGGTTTTAGTCATTTATATCTAATTGTAAACCTGACACTGAGTAGAGTTTTCATTATATTTCTAAAAATATCAATATATATTAAATTCATATTTATTTATATTTATAAATACTAAAATTAAAATAAATATACTGTAAATAAGAAACAACTCTTAAAGACACACTAATTGTAAACCTGACACTGAGTAGAGTTTTCATTATATTTCTAAAAATATCAATATATATTAAATTCATATTTATTTATATTTATAAATACTAAAATTAAAATAAATATACCGTAAATAAGAAACAACTCTTAAAGACACATAAATTAATTATTAAGATCTAATTGGGAAATTCTAAATGCAAAGTTTGTTGCTAGGCGCTCGGAAAAGTACTTAGGTCAAAGGTGTGGCCCTGGCAGTTAAAGAAGGCCGTATATGTTAGCGTTATTAGACCAGTGATGACACATGGAAGTGACACATGGGTCCTCACCAGGAAGTCAGAGCAAGTGTTGAATGTGTGGAAGAGGAAAGTCCTGAGAAGGATTTTTGACCTCTTCAGAGAGGGAGATCGATGGAGGCAGAGAAACAATCAGGAGTTTCATGATCTATAAGGGCCCCGAATATTTTCATCTGCATTAAGAAGAGTAGAATTAGGTGGCTGGGACATTTGCAGAGGATTGAGGAACGGCGTATCCCAAAGAAGCTTCTGGGCGGACACCCTGGTGAAGAATGAAGAAGAGGGCATTCTAGATTGCGGTGGCTGGAGGAGGTGGAGGAGGACCTGAAGACACTTGGAGTCCAAAGGTGAAGAGCGGCTTTGGACAAGGACAAATGGCAGAGAATTGTGGAGGAGGCTAGAGCTCTGCAAGGACCATAGTGCCATCAAAAATAAATCAAATACAAATTTTATAGTCTCTAAAATAGAAATAAACAATTAACCCAATTTTCATTAATTCAGGCATTATTATGACTAAAAAACAAGATTACATGTATCATCTATCCAGAATGAAAGAACAATTCAAAATTTCCTACTTCCGAAATCAGGCCAACCATTAGACAGTTGTTGATCTATCAGCAACATGAGGAAGCTCCTTTTGTACTTTTATAAAGAATTTAACCAATTTATTAAGTTTGTTCTAGGAAAAAAAGATTTTGGGAGTTGTAACATTTCAATGTGCGATACGCAGACCAAATGTTGCACCGCTCACATTAACAAATAAAAAATAAACATCAAATGGAGACTATACATCACTCCAATATATTTAAATTCATACTGGAGATATACAAATATGTTGATACATCAATCTTTTTACATTTACAAATATTATTTTCAACCATTCTCTGGTAGTTCTATTTGTTATAGTATTTTATTATAATAAATTTAACACAATGAAACTTTAATGTTTGAAATTTATTTATTACTCCTACTAACCCCATTTGTCAGTTTCTCGCATATTATGTTCTACTTATTATATACAATTAAACTCTCATAAATTTAGGTCTTAAACTCAATAAGATATTCAGAATTTTAGAAATTAATTTTTTAAAAAATGAAATCATTGTAATTATGTGTTCTCATGACACATTTCAGTATTATATATTTTATATTAATTTTATAGTATATATAACACATAGAGAAGAAAGACCAATAAAGAGCTGCTTAAAGAAACTGAAAATTCTTATTACAGCGTTGATGAGGTCAGTATTTGTAGTTTTCAGCCTCTGCAGATATATAGTAAGACGAACTAATACCAAGGTTTAGTTGTTTTAGTAGGGGCTGCTTTCTTATGACAAAAAAACAATAAACATGCTTTTAAACATGTTTTTTTCCCTAGGTTTCATATTTCCCATCAGGAACTATAACACACATTGATTTATTCAATTTTAGAAGAAAGCTTTAGGGCTATTTCTCCATTTTGAAATGCATATTCACCAGTTTTGAACCAGAAAAAAATATTACATACTTTTGGCAGAAAACTTAACCCTTTGTGTGAATTTGCCGTGGTCAGGTAAAAAACATTGATTTTCTA